ACTGAACAGCACCGGGAAGCTCGTGTGATCAACCAGGATATAAAACTCTTTGAGCCACACACTTCATTCTGCACAGTGTTAATACTATAGTAATCTCAGACATACAGTTTTCAAGTTTTCACACTGACACCCCACTCAAAGCTTCTGTTTACAAGAAGCAACCAGTCAGAACAAAACTGTCTTAAAGGGAGAAGGAGGGAAGCTTGTTTCAGACAGAATAAACTGAGAGCCTTAAAAATGCATAGAAATTATTATTTTGAACTGTGAATCATGCAAAGCTACTTTAGAAGAGTCAAAAAATAAAAACTCAGAGCAGAAAATTAGCAAAATAACTTGATTTAAGGTGCTTTAAGGAGGTCTGCAGGTTTAGAAGAAACCATTATATTTATAGAGAGCATCTTTTCTGTGCTTTTTCAGTTGAGGGGAAGTTAGAATCAGGCAGTCCCACATGGAAAAGTTATATATAAATCTTATAAAGTTTGTATCTGTCTTGTGTGAAACTTGTATGAAAGCATACAAGAGTGAAAACAGATATAAGATTCTTTGAAAAATTATTGAAATGAAACTTGTATGTTTTGAATACTTACTAAAAGAAATATATGAAAGTGGCCACTTTCATGAGTAAATCATATAAGCCTTATATGATTCACTATATGAAGTAGGCCACATCTGATGCAAGTCTTTATAAGTTTTTTCTATTTCTTTTCCATATGTGGTTGTCTGGCCATCATAAGAAATAACATTAATTCAAGCAAAACATGTAAATTATTAGTACTTGTCTTCAAAGATGATTTAAAGACTCAAACTGTTGTCAAACTTGAGCTTCTACACAAACATGAAAAATATGTTTTGCCAAATGGGCCTCGTCTGCAGACACATCAGCGCATTATGTCCTGCTAGTTCTGTACTTTTTCCAGTTTACATGAGACTGTAGAGTAAACTACAACTTCACTGATACAGAACACAGACTCATGAAAAGCACATACGCCCTGACGTCTCATTCTTTGGACAAACGTGACTGAGACGAGCCACACTGATGTAATGTCCATGCTGCCTGCGGTGGATGGGTGTGTGTCATCACCTCTTTCATCAGGTAAATAATTCAGGCCTGACATGAGCCAGGTACTCACTTGCAGCTGCTATGGTGTCTCCTGTGTGGAAAGGTAACAAAATGCAGATAGAGTCCTCTGGATGTCAACTATGAACCACGGTGTCCCCACGTACTACCCGTATGAAAACAGTTATTCCTGTTTCAAATGATAAACTAGGAATGTACGTCATTCTGCTCCCCGTTCTTTTAATGGGGTTTAAATTTTGTAAGTGACTTTGTAACAATGCTTTTGGTAAGTAACCCACATTTAGTCTTTTCCTTGAATAAAAATGCAAACAATAAAGAAAACCCTGCCCGAGGATGCTGACTCCTGTCACACTTTATCCTCTAAACCACAAGATGTCATTTTATCCCGTCATTTATTGACTGACATGATGCATAACATGGGGTTGCTCTCACAATAGAATTTTCCTTGACTTTTAGGGCAGCAAGCATTAAGTAGCTTTGATATCTGTTATTTGAAAATGTGTCTGATCAACAAATTAATGTCACAAAATCTCTTGTCAATGAGATTCTTAGTCTAAAGGCTCCGGCCAAGTCACAACTGTAACTTTTATGCGTCTTGTTACTTTCGAAGGTTCACTTCAAGTTACACAAACTGTTTCCAGAGTGTGTGAGTATCATCTCACCACTGCAGACTGCACAGCGTCCGTCTGAACTTCTTCTTCAGGTGAGTCTGCCCTCTGCTGGAGTTTTTGAACATTTTAGTACCAGTTAGTCTGAAACTGTAGCTGCAGGTTACGTTACTCAAATTGTCAACGCTGTCACCAGATCTCAGTCCAGTAGAGCACCTTTTGGGAGGTGGTGGAATGGGAGACTCACATCGTGGACGTGCAGCTGACAAACATACAGCAACTGTGCGATGCTGTCATGTCAAAATACACCAAAATCTCTGAAGAAGGTTTCCAGCTACTGGTCTATGTTATTAAAACAGTTCTAAAGGTAGGGTGGAGTCAAATCAATGCTGGCAATATGTAACTAAAGAAGCCACTGAGTGTGTTTCTTTAAAACCTTATTTAACCATTAGGGGAACTTTTAGGAATTAGAATATATTTTGTGAGAATTTCCTGGTTGATATTTGCAGCATTAACCTGGCATGATGTCAACAGAAGGAGAAACCAGAGCTCCTATAAACGATAACCTACATAGTGACATGCAAACTCAAGACCGAAGGGCCCCAAACCTAGGACACTCTTAAGAGAACTTACACACGAAAACCACACACTGCCGATACAGCTAAACAAGCCTCCTCACATTTTGATTATATGGGAATAAACCAACCTAAAGAGACATTCGGATCATTGCAGAAATCCTGAATAATCCAATAATTTAAGACAAAGGCGGACGAGACAGTTATTAAGTGAATATACAAGCAACAAATGCATTTACAGCTAATTTGCATTTAGATTGGAGTGACAAATCAAAGGTCACAGGATGAGATATGGTGATATGCTAATTGTGCCATAAAATCATAAACAGGCTCTTCTTTTTGCATCAATGAACAAATAAAAGCCCTCTGCAGCGAGCACACAGAGAAAATAATCTTTGAACAATAAATTCACAAGAAACATTCATGTTGAAAGAGCAATAACACAGCAAGTTTTTACACAGTGCAACTACAAAGACTGAAACTGTGTGGCAAAAGCTTATAGACTCATATTCTCCCACAGACTGTGGATTCTCCAGGTGCCACGGACAATCAGAAATGGAGGACAAGCTTGTTGTTGCCACCTGTGGGCAGCTGAATGATTAAACTTTGATTTCCTGCAGAGACAGGACAAAAAAGGGGAGCTTAGATTCTGAATTCCAGGTTTTTTATTTGTACTTGTGAAGGAAGTGCTTAATATTAATATGTGATTGGAAACTTAACAAAAAATAATTTTACAAAATTTAAATTGTTTAATGTCTTGCACCTTTGCACCTCCTACTGGCCTTGCAGTGACAGTGCAAGAGACTGTGAGTTGCCTGGGATCAACCGTTCATTGTCTACAGCTGAGAAGCTGTGGATATGGTACGCCTCAGGTTGTTTTCAGAGGGACACCACTTCTTTTGAAGAGTGCCATAAAAGCTAAAATTTCTTTGGCAAATTTAAGTCATTTATCATTCGTCTTTTAACTCCATTTTTGATCTTGTCTAGATGGTTAATGCATCGTGCTCATCAGGTGGGCTCTGGCTATGCCTCTAAGCTGAACTGTTTAATGTTTCACGTACCACATATTAGCATTTTATCACATCAAGTGAGTGTTTTTACACAGCCACTCTGATCAAACTGGTGTTCTTAAGACCCAGTCTTAGAGGCCTGCTTGGAGATATACCTGCAGCTTTAGGTGTCTTGTTACCCTTTCTGTGAAAATGGTTCCCTAGAAGTTATGCAAGCTCTCTCCAGAGTCTGTAAGTATCATTTCACCACAACAGTGTCTGTGTGCAGGTTGTGGTCTGCCCTCTGCTGCTCTGCATGAAAGTTTTACTACACCTCTGTCTCACAACTCAAGCAGGCGTGTTTGGTAAAGAGCAGATATCTCTGAATTATAGTCTATCATAACTACTGGCGTCTGTTTGATGCTCCCGTAAACATTTAGGAGGTTGATGGATGTTACTACTTTCACCAGAAACAGAGAACTATAACATAATTACATAACATTATTAAAACACAACATAATTATAATATAGTCTCGTATCTAATAGTTTATAATCTTTTTGGATGGATAGTATTATATGGACATAAATGGGTTTTTAAAAAATAATTCTTCAGCCCATGGCCACGCCCACTGTGTGCAGCCAACCACAAATAATGGATGTGTGCCTGCTGATCTGACATCACAAGACAGCCATCTTCACAGACACCAGAGTTTCCCACAGTCTATGAACTGAAGAGCATCGTTGAGAGCAATTCAAAGAGGCTCTTTGTGGCTTCACAAATCAATAGCCTGGTCTTAGGCCCCGGAGGAAGAAGTTTTCGTCTGAGGATTGATTCGTCTAAACATCTGAGAACTGAGCACCTCACTCCCCAACACCTCCCTTAAACTGTGAAGCTTCAGGATGGAGGACGTGCAGTGAGGTATGGGGAAACAAGGGGACAAAGGAGGTCATAGACAAAGAAGGTGGGATGGTGATTCCTCAGCAGGTGATGACTGATTGAACACAGAACACAGATTCTCCTTGGTGTTAATGTGATGGTGCTTCAAAGTGAAAATTTATCCTGAAATCAGCAAACATATGCTAGATAAATGGATCGTTTCACATAAGACTCTTAAGAGATACCTGAAGGTCTTGAAACACTGTCATCGAAGGTTTGGGTGTGGACGGAACAATTTTTTAAGGAAATAAAAATGATTAATCGCAGATCACCATAACAGTACAGTGGACAAATAATGTTAAATGTATTTATTTAATGAAATCACGCTTCAGTTGGTGTAACATGTGCTCCAGCTGATATTTAGAAGTAGACCATTAATTAATTAGAGCTATTTAACGTAAATAAACACAGGTTGGGGTGAAAGAAGCCAAACAAAAAAGCCAAAATCCTACAAGAGCATTTTGTACTATGTAGAAAGGATAAAATAGACTATGAGAAATGTCAGAGAGATTTATTTGATATGTACATAAAGTGTAGTAGGAGTGATCTTCTATGTGTATGTTTTTAAGCAATGATGCCGTTGTCTCAGGTCATGTGCACCGACTCTCACTTGGACTACTGACCCAACTCAGGGCTTTATAGGTCACCATGTGACCTGATCACAACGTTCCCTCTTAAACTTTTAAAGAAAAGACTCAAAACCTCTTATTTTTCTAGCAGCAGGTGATAACTCGGCATAAACTAAAACACACAGCAATTTGTGTTTATAAATGACAATCATTCAAACATCCCCTAATTGGACCTGAAGTTTACCTTGATGAGGGTGGTGCATTTGTAGCTGAGGCGGTGTATGTTTGGATCCCAGCCCTCCAGCGCCCAATCAGATCCCTTCCTGTTTATTTTCATTGCCATGGTTACCACATTAACACCTGCATACTGCTCATCTACAGAAAATCCTTCATGTTTAAAAAAAAACAAAACTTTTTCAAGCCAGATTTGACAAACGACTGCTCATCGGGACTTTTCCAAAGTAGAGTAATAAAAAAAATATGTACATAAAAATTCCTTTTTCCATGTCGTCTTCCAGATTCAACAGTTGCTTTATTCCACGGTCGAAGTAAAAATGTCCTGCTCCTGAATTATTTCCCCCAACTGTCTGTTTTTCCTCCTCACATAAGAACCTAAAAAATGTATTCCACTGACTGAGTAAATCATGCCTCCTCTCCTGTTTAGTTTGGTTACACCTTTGCAGACTGGATAAAAGTCAGAGTGTGTCTGACGAGACAAACATTCACAGAAGAGATGGGTGGCGTATTATTCAATGTATTTGCTTGTTCTGTTGGCTCGCCCCATTTGTGCCTCTGCAGCAGGGGAACGCTGTCAGGGCTCATTAGCTGATCAGAAAAGAAGACAAGTTCAGCAGCGCATTAACTAAGTATCAAAGAGGTTGATACAAAAGTAGTACACACACACACACACACACACACACACACAGCATCTTGTTTGATTTGACTGGTCTCCCTGTTTACAGTGTGTGCATGCTTTTTAAAGAAAGAGTAAATAAAGTGGGAACACTGTAGCTTCAGATGTTGTTCTTTCTTCTTTCATTATTTTGTATCAAACAGGATATGTTGTTACAGTGGTGAATGTTTGTGTTAAACATGACAAAAGCTTCACATGAGGTCAGCTTGCATGCCAGTCCCTCTGTGCCAAAAGCTCCAGCTTAAGAGTACTCCAAATGCTCTGTTTCATATGTTTTACTCTCATTTCTGTCTGATGTCACTGATTGCACGTATCCATAGTATGTTCATCGAAAGTGCACAGTTTAGCCCTACTAACCGAACCGGCTGTTCAAATCATGCAAACCTTTTGTAGTAGAGTGTAACAGTGAACGATATGGAGCTGGAAAGGAGTGTGTGTGTGTGTGTGTGTGTGTGTGTGTGTTTTCACCTGCTGTAAAATGACCATGGCCCTGGTTTTTATCCTTATGGTTGGACATCAGCAGTCACCTGTAGACTCTAATGAAGAGAGTGAGAAATAGATTCATTTATTCAGAGTTTGCTTTAAATACATGAAAAATGATAATGATTCAGATCATCTCACAGTGAACTCATCATTATGTATATCATTATGAATTATAAGGTTTTGGGTCTGATGTATAATTAGAAACAAACAGAATAGACAAACTGTATTGAAATAAATAGAGACTAATACAACCTCCACCAATATAGCGGTCTTAATTTGTCAACATGGCGGCAGGTTGTAAAGTAGTGCCCGAACATCTGAGAAACTACAATGTTATAAGCTGCCATACTGATTAATTATAGAAAGTGCAGAGGCCTTGAAAATTACTTGTTCCCATTTTCAAATACTCACTCAACAAAGTGATTAATAAAACTATTAATCATGTATCAGTAAAACAGACGTTCACTGATAAAAACCTTTATAAAGGGCTCCAAGGGGAAAATAACTACTTACAAATGGCACAAAAATGCCACATGAAACTTTGCCAAAGTTCATTAAAAGAGCCTAATGAAAACTGGCAGTGCATTCTACGGTCAGATGAACCCAAAATAAATGAATCTGGGTCAAATGAGGTCCAGAATGTCTGGCACAGATGAGCTTGGGACCATCACTGTGCAAAAACATGGGAGAGTGAGTGCTGGTATGAGTGCAAAAAAACAACAACACACAGCAGAGGCACCTGAACAGTATTCTGTTACAGTAAACGGGATAACTGGGTTTGTTCTTTTCAGGTCACTCGCATGCAAACAGTGTTTATGCATGTGTATCTGTGTGCATGGGAATTAGTCTTAATAAATTATTCAGGCTCCTCTTGATGAAGCTTCAGGCTGATCCTTTGACTTTTTGACGTATGACAGCTGCAACACCTCAACCTCATTAGATGCTTTGTTTGGGTTTCTCTTTGAACCGCAGCACAGCTTGAGTTACACCACAGCTCTGAACAGAGCCTGGTTCAACCTTTAAGACCGCCATTATATCAAATCTAAATGTTCTCCGGTGAGTCAGGTGTGCAGTGTACTTCAGACAGGATGTTGTTTGATTTGCCTTCTTTTCATTCACTTCAAAAGTTTACGTCACAAACATTTAACATCTTTTACCAAACTACCTCTAATTGTCTAATTTTAACTTTGTAGTAATCAGTGGTTTTTCTATTATGGTGTTATTATGGTATAGAAAATGTCTTCAGTTTTATTCTTTATTTTGTTTATTTTTATAGAGCTGGGAGGAGCTTTTTGGATTGGTACGTCTACATAAGTGACTAAAATATTGTCACCTTAAACTGAAGCAACAAATTCCTGTCTGAAAACTGAACTTAAACAAATTAAAAACTAATGAAAGGTACAAAACTTTAATACCTATGACCTCAAGAAAATTAAACAAATAAATAATATTGTAATATTTTCAAAAATAAGCAGGTAAAGCCATGAAATCTTTAGCACTTTTGAAAGAAAACCTTACTGTAATAATTGTCCAAGTATAAAATAAATGCTTTTTGAATAAAAACTGTTATCAGATAAGTCTGGAGGAATAAACAGAAAGCAGGAATAATACAGCCAGTGTCAGCCAGACTACAGGGTGTAAATTGAAAAAGAATTTAATTCCAGCTCGATGTCTATTGTTGCATTTAACTTCTTTTGTCCTTTGTTTCTCGAGTCTCTCTCCCTCACTGACCTTTGCTAATTCTTCCGGGACTTTAAAGGTCACAAAAATGGTCTAATAATAACAACAGAGAGAATTACCATCACATACATGTCATACAAACACATGAAATGTCTCTCTCTCTCTCTTCTCTCTCTCTCTCACACACACACACACACACACACACACACACACACACACACACACACACA